TCCACGAACTTCGGCATCCCTCTGACTGGGTGCCCTTGCTGGCTTTCAGATGTGCCTGTGTCCACTCATGCTCTGCTGCCCACTCAGGATGGGGTATCTCACCAGCCCACTAAACGAAAGCCCACAAGGAAAGCTTCAAACAGAGGGGGGCAAATTACTTTAAATTGAGGGGACAAAGTGTCATGCAATATGAGGACTGGCCACAAGGTGTCACTGGGGCTCCAAACCTAGGATCCCTCAAGATTATGTGCTGCTCATCATCTCCAATGAGCATCCCCCTCCAAGGTCCCATTTGGTCTTCACATCAACTTTGATTCACTGGAAGGGCTGACAAACCCATTTCACAGATGAGAAAACAGGGTGAGCATGCTCTGTGATGCTCTGAGGCAGCCTGAGGATGGCGCGCCCTTAGGACACAGAAGGACTGTCCCAGACCACCGAGCAACACCGCAAAGCTTGACACAGCCCGCACTACTCCACACGGGTGACATAAATGTGGTTTTATGTTTTTTTCCTCCCAATATCTACAAAAAAATTTTTAATTGAAAAAAGTGAGTATCGGGGTTCTTGATCCTGCATCAAGAAGGGTTCAGAGCACTGCTGGTGGGAATGCAGACTGGTGCAGCCACTGTGGAGAACAGTATGGAGTTTCCTCAAAAAACTAAAAACGGAACTCCCATTTGACCCAGTAATCCCACTTCTAGGAATATATCCCAAGAAACTAGAAACACCAATCAGAAAGGATATATGCACCCCTATGTTCATAGCAGCACAATTCACCATAGCTAAGATTTGGAAACAGCCTAAGTGCCCATCAGCAGATAAGTGGATTAGAAAACTATGTACATCTACACAATGGAATACTACGCTGCTATAAAAAGAAGGAATTCTTACCATTTGCAGCAGCATGGATGGAACTGGAGAGCATTATGCTAAGTGAAATAAGCCAGGCAATGAAAGAAAAATACCACATGATCTCACTCATTTATGGAAAATAAAGAACATTATAACCTGATTAACAAAAAGATAGATACAGAGGCAGTAAAGCATCAAACAGACTGTCAAACTACAGCAGGAAGGCTGGGGAGTGTTGGGGTGGGGGAGAAAGAGATCAACTGAAGGACTTGTATGCATGCATATATGCACAACCAATGGACACAAGACACTGGGGGGCGAGGTGGGATGAGGGCTTGCCACAGGGGGTAGGGGAGGCTGGGGGAAGGTCAATGGGGGGAAAAAAGATATATGTACTACTATGTGTAATACTTTAAACAATAAAAAAAAGAAAAAATAAGAAGGGTTCAAAAATCTGGAGAAGGGCTGTTCGTAAATTAAGTAAGAGTCCAGAGATGAAACATAATTTCGAAAGGCATTATAGGGAGTCAGAGAAGACTTAGCTTAAGGAACTAAGTTCTCCTCGCCTCAGGACCCCTTGCTTTTTATTAACACAATTTGTCCTAAGGCCGTGGTTCTCAACCTTGGCTGCACATTAGAATCACCTGGGAATCTTTAAAATCCTGATTTTTGGGCCTCATCCTGGATGGTGTCTGTTTGCCCCTCCAGGCCCTGTTCCCTCTCCGCCTGAAAGCCCAGGAGGACTGCAGCAGAGGGCGCTCTCGTCCCGGCTGCTGACTGGGGTCAGCCATCGGTGGTTGGGGGGCAGGAAGGGAATGAGGCCCCAGGATTTAGTCCCCCAGCCCCCCTCCACCAGGCTGCTGTGACATGACTGCAATGCACCCCTGAAAGCCACCGCTCCTGTCCCGCAGCCGTGCCCTCGGGTCACACTCTGGAACTGCTCCTTCCCTTCGGCCGTCCGATGCCAGGGTGGCCATGGCTCCTGGCTGCAGCACCTGGTTGGTTGCCCTTGACCTTGACCTCCATTCCCAGCCCATTTGTTAAGCTCTCCTGGACACCACATCTTATGGGCTGAGTTGTATCCCCCATAAAAAGATATGTTGGAGTCTTAACCCCCAGTACCTTAGCAATGTCACCTTATTTGGACATAGGGTCATCGCAGATGTAACTAGTTAACATGAGGTCTTGCTGGCGTAGGATGGAGCCCTAATTCAATGGATCAGTGTCCTTGAGAAGAAAGCCATGTGAAGACAGACACACAGGGAGCAGCCATGCGATAACCAGGGCAGAGAGATTGGACTTAAGCAGCTGCAAGCCAAAAAAAAAAGGCCAAGAATTGCAGGCAAACCACCAAAAGCCAGGAAGAGGCCAAAAGGGATTCTCCCCTACAGCTGTCCTGAGAGCAGGGCCTGCTGACCCCTTGATCTGACTTCGGGCCTCCAGAGCTGTGAGGCAATACGTTTCTGTTGTTCTAAGCCACCCCGTCTGTGGTATTTGTTACGGCAGCCACAGGAAACTAATACACCCTATTCGAGTGGATCTCTGTTTCCAGCCTGGATCGTGACCGACATGACCAACACCCAGAAGAATCGTGAGACTCCTTTGGGGGAAGTAGAAAACCAGAGGAAACAGCCCATCTCTCCAGCAGACACAGGCATCCTTCTAGGGCAGCTGTGGGCAAACTACGGCCCTCGGGCCGGATCCGGCCCGTTTGAAATGAATAAAACTAAAAAAAAAAAAAAGACCGTACCTTTTTATGTAATGATGTTTACTTTGAATTTATATTAGTTCACACAAACACTCCATCCATGCTTTTGCTCCGGCCCTCCGGTCCAGTTTAAGAACCCATTGTGGCCCTCGAGTCAAAAAGTTTGCCCACCCCTGCTCTAGGGGCACTTCCCGAGCCCCCGGTAACAGCTGGCTCCGGACGGCATCGGAGAACTAAGCAGCTCCTCATCAAAGGGCCTTATATGCTCCAAAATTGCGAGTGGGAATTTCAGACACCAAAACAAGCCCCTCTAAGGTAGAACTGTTATCTCCAGAATATTCCAAACCAATCTGCTCAGTGACATGTGTCTCACTACACATGAGCAGACAGACCACTTGGCTGCGAGGGCTGGGCTCATAGGAGGACAGTTTTGCTGTGGATAGAGGGTCAGAAACGCTGGAGCCTGGTGCCCTGAGGGCGGCCCAATCAGCATGGCTGCATCAGCTCTGGCAGCTGTATTAGGAGGCGGCTGCAATAACGCAGGTGATGGCTAGAGAGGGTCAGGGGGAAGGAGGTAGAGACAGAGGCAAGTGATGCAACGAATGTGGAACTGGCAACGGATTGGGAGTGAGGGGTAGGGAGAAATGAGGTCAAAGATGACAGGAAGATTTCACAGCAAGCATGTCAGACTCAAAGGCTAACACGGGCCAAATAAACAAGGTTTAAGTGTATGTGGGCTGCAAGAAAACAAAAGGTTCAGTTTTCATAGAAACGTAGGTTTATTTCGATAGAGACATGCTCTGTCCTCACAGCCTTCCCTACTGATTCCTCTAGAACGGTGGTTCTCAACCTTTCTAATGCCGCGACCCTTTAATACAGTTCCTCATGTTGTGGTGACCCCCAACCATAAAATTATTTTCGTTGCTACTTCATAACTGTAATCCTGCTACTGTTATGAATCGTCATGTAAATATCTGATATGCGAGATGTATTTTCATTGTTACAAATTGAACATAATTAAAGCATAGTGATTAATCACAAAAAAACAGTATATAATTATATATGTTTTCCAATGGTCTTAGGCGACCCGGGTGAAAGGGTCGTTCGACCCCCAAAGGGGTCGTGACCCACAGGTTGAGAACCGCTGCTCTAGAAGGGAAAGCAGCCTCAGGGAAGGGAATACCTAGGGGCCTCTGGCATCCTTGCTGAAGATGGGTCCACCAGGGTCTGTGAGCGATTAGGCCCAGGGCCAGCGCTCCACCTCACGGTGCATCGTGGAGAACACAGCTAACTCCGCCCGCCCCCCCCCCCCCAGCATACCCAGGGCTATTTAAAGTTGGGACCTTACAAGGGGAGCACATCTGAGGACACAGGAAGTGAGGCTGAGCTTAGAAAGAGCATGAGTGCTAAACATGATGAATGAGCGGCATCTGAGAAAGAACCAGATAAAGCAGGAAGGCTCCCAGAATTCATAGCCACAGAGGACGTGGCCAGCCATGGCTCCCACCAGCCCGGAGCACAGCGGCCAGGACAGGAACAGAACCTGGGCTTCTGAAATGCAGACACAGGTCCACTGTGCGCACGTGCCCTCATGAGTCAGGCGGCTGGGTTTCCTGCTTCTCCTGTTATCTCGGGTCCACCTTAGCTCGGTTCCACTTAGTTCGTGCTCAAAAGCAAGCGTCTTTCCCAGTGGGGACACAAAAGGACATCATTCTTTCTTCTTAAGAAAAAGAAAAAAAAAAAACAGCAAAGACATACCAGTGAGCCCTGCAGCCCTGCAGTGAATATGAGAACTACATTTGGGGAATTGATGTCCGGAACTAATGGTTCCCATGAGAAAGGAAGTATTTCTAGAAAGCGTGCTGTTTAAGTACAGATTCAGCAGGAACCCCAACTGTCGGGCCACGGGCCTGAGGTCACTTGGCAGCTTCCAGGGGCAGCGACAGGGCATTTGTCAGAGCGGCCACTGAGCAGCATGCGAAGCTCCAGGAAATGGGCAGGCTCAACTCCCAGGCCCTCGCAAGTGAGACCGGAGCTTTCTATGTCTTATAAAGCAAGTCATGTTAGCCCGGCTGGCGTGGCTCAATGGTTGAGCGTCAACCTATGAACCAGGAGGTCATGGTTTGAGTCCTGGTCAGGGCACATGCTCAGATTGCGAGCTCCATCCCCAGTAGGGAGCATGCAGGAGAGGAGGCAGCCAATCAATGATTCTCTCTCCCCCGCTCCTTTCCTCTCTGAAATCAATAAAAATATATTTTAAAGCAAGTCATTTTAATTAAAAGCTTTTTGAAATTCCAGTAAAACTCGAGTAATGACGGTCTGATATCAACAGCAATGAGCCGAGTGGATACAGCAGGAACAAAACAATACCATTTATAAAACATGAGTATTCCAGCCATTCCCATATTTCAATGATGGGCTTTTATTAAAAGTATACACACACCTCATATTTAAACTTTTTTTAAAAAGAACTTCCTTTTGTCCTAGTATCAAAATAGTTACCTTTTTTAAATACCTTGAAAATCTTTAATACAATTATTTTGTTATATATTAAATATTCTCCTAACACCTCAATCATCTCTCTCCTAGAATCTTGCCTGCCACTACCACTTTTTTTGGCATCTTCAGTGCTTTATCCCAGAGAAACATTAAAAGGAAAAGATTTTTCCTGTTAAGTCACCTATTTAAATTTAAAAAAAAAATTAATAGGAGCAGCCAATGGCAATATTTGATTTGATAGGGAAGATTCGTATTAACTGGGCTTCCCTACAGAGTTATGTTGAAAGGTGTGCCCACAACCGATCACTCTTTAAATAATTCCTCAGGTCCTGGACTTATTTAAACAAAACAGCAGTTCTTGGCCTGAACCGGTAATGCTGACCCAACAGCACCCTCTAGTGTCCCCTGAGGAGAAAAGCAGCTGACAAGACAGGAAGGTGTTCGGATGTGTTGGAAATCTAGACGTGAAGACCAAAAATATTTTATTTCTCAGGGGTCCCAAGACAAGTGGCTTCCCAGAGTCCTGCTCGCAAGCCAGGCCGCCTGCAGCTGCTCGGGACAGAGCTGAGAGGATGCCAGCTTCACACGACACTGGGCCGCACCATCAAAAGCTGGACTCCGGTAACGATTTCTTTCGCCGTAAGGAGAGAGTGTGGTATTTCACCCTCTGCAAGCTGCCGAAAGGCGTGTGCTCCCCGGGAGCACTTCTCTGTGCCGGGCTCGGGGCACTCGCCCTCGGGGGCCTGCAGGCCTTGCGCGGGAGGTGCAGAGAGCTGGGCGCAGAGCGGACCGCGCCCTCCGGGCCCCTGGCCTGGCCCCCCGGCACCCGCAGGGGAGAGGACGAGACAGGAGTCTGCTCACCCACCGCTGGGCTCAGTCTGCCACTCCCCAGGGAGACTGGGGACACCTCAGCCCTGTCATTCTTCTTGTTCTTCTTCAAAAACACAGACCTCAGAAGGGTGAGGGTCCCCTGTGAGAGTCTGTCTGTCTCAGGGTCCCTTCCCTCTGCATCTGCCCTGGCCCTGGAGAAGGCATTGTGAGGAGCTGATCTGCCCACAGTACTTGAGGCGTCCTGGGTCCCCACATGGCCACTTCCCTTCCCGTTCGCGGTCCTCTGGCCCTCGGGCCGGGCTCGCTTCTCAGTGCGCACGGAGGGTGTGACTGTGAGCAGCAGGTCACACTGCCTGGGGGGCCTGATATCGTGGCCGGCATGTCCCTCCAGTTTCCCCGCTGTGTTCAGACCATCCGAGACTCCATGGCTGAGGTGGCCCTCGGGGCAGGACACGCCGGCTGGTCCTCTCTCGCTGGCTCGCTGCTCACTACCTTCACCCTTAGCAGAGGGGGTGGCACTTGACCTCGGCCCCGCCGACTTCTCGTCCCCGCCAGCAGCGCCCGTCAGCAGCGGCACGATGGACTGGCTCGTAGACCGAGGCCTCCGTCTGGACTCCAAGTACTCCACCAACTCGACCGACGCCACCACCGGCTTCTCTCTGTGTCCAAAAGACCACCGGAGGGGCATGGTCCTGAAGGCCCCCTGCTTGGCTCGAGAGGCAGTGGGCACCTTCATGCTGATGCTTCGGCCTCTCTCTCCCCGGACCAAGGGCCTGGACTCCAGGCCTCCTGAAAGAGATGCCAAGAGCATTAGTGCCCACAGACCCCTCCAGCTCAACAGGAGTCACTGCAACGCCAGCCATTGAACCGGCAGTGACTGGGCCCCTCGGATGCTTCAGGCGCTGTGCTGGGCACGGACACAGCCGTGGGCCACAGACAGGCCACTGCGGCTCCTGCCCTCGGAGCATCATGCTCTCACCCCTATTCCACTGAAGCCATTAGCACAGCGGTTCTCAACCTGTGGGTCGAGACCCCTTTGGCGGTCGAACGACCCTTTCACAGGGGTCGCCTAAGACCATCCTGCATATCAGATATTTACTTTACGATTCATAACAGTAGCAACATTACAGTTATGAAGTAGCAATGAAAATAATTTTATGGTTGGGTCACAAGATGAGGAACTGTATTTAAAGGGCCAGAAGGTTGAGAACGACTGCATTAGCACGTTGGAAGCCACAGGGCATACCAGTGCCCAAGAAGGTAGCCAGCTACAGGCCAGGCAGTGCAGACTCCTGGTAAAGACCAGTCCCTGAGGCGTCTAGCCCTCCGATTCAACATCACTTCCATTCATCTTTAAGTATTTCCTGAAACAGCATACTCTGCACAAGTTCTGCTTATTGGACCTGCTTTTCCAGGCCAAATGAGGGCCAGTCCCTGTGTGCCGAGCATGGCATAGAGTGCCAGCCCAAGCCCCTGCTCTCAGCCTCCGCAGGTGCTGTTCACTTGCTGAAGGAGTCGGGGCAACGCTGGCTAGATGCCCATCTTCACCAATGACAACAGCCCCCCAAGGGAAGCGGAGCCACCCCAGTGTGAGCGGTGGGCAGGGGTGGGCAGGGCCCTCTCCTCAGCATCCTTAGCCCACCGGCAACAGGACCAGCCCTTTCCTGGCCAGTGCTTTCTGTCTTCCGAGGGTTTCCACTCACTTCCGCACTCAATCACTATTTCCTAAGAGCCTACTGCGGGCTAAGGACAGTTTTCAGGGCTGGGGACATCGTTGTCGAAAAAATACAAAGCGCTTGTCCCTTATGGGGTTTGACAGGAAATAAAATTTTATGATCTCATGGGATGTCAGGACAAGAGCTATGAGGAAGAATGCGGGGGAAATACGGGGCTGTCAGTGAGTGACGCCTGAGGAATGATGAGACCTCAGGGCAGAGAGGGAAGAAGCCATGTGGAGATCTGAGGAGAACAGGCTCCAGGCAGAGGCAGCTGCTAGTGCAAAGGCCCGGGGCACGGGTAAGCTTGGAGGGCCAGGGAGGCAGGAAACAGACCACCAGTGGTTGGGATCTAGGGAGAAAAGGGGCTTCCTCTTCTGAGCCCCGATCTGCATTTGGAGACCACTCTGCTGTGGGTGCAGAGTGCAGCCTCAGGCAGCCTGGCCCTCGGGCATTTAGAAGATTAGGGGAAGCTGCATAGGTGAGCTGAGCCTTCTCCGCCTCTGAGACGAGCCTCCAGGACCAGGCCGGCGAGGAGAAAGGCTAACTTGGGAGCTGAGGCCACTGCCCTCCCCCACTCTAATAACCACTGCTCAAGAGAAGATGGAGGGGGCCCCTTTGGGAGAAACAGAAAAATAACAGCGCACACGAGGGGTCCAGCAATCAGAGGGTCAGAACATGCGACCATCAGAAGAGCCCCTTGAAATGGAGCCACCAGAGGAAACAGACAATTTAAAGTTCTTAAGGAGATTCAGGTATAAAACAACTAGAAACTGAAAATATAACTCCCAGGTTTTTCAAGTCAGTAAATGAAGACATCCAAGGTCCCTGTTGGAACTCAAACTAGTGGCCTGAAATGATCCTGGAATTTGTGAAAAGTCCGTAATTGTGAAAGCAATGTCTCATACCACAGAGCAAAATGACAGAGAGACAGAAATCTCAGGGAAAAGCTAGGAGACTCAGAGGACAGATCCAGGAGACACAACAGGCAAGTAACAGGAATCTGAAAAGCAGATGAGACAATAATTAATTAAACAACAAAAAAGATCATTTCCCGAAAGAAAAGCCTGCATCTGTAGAAGGAAAGGCCTTCCCAGTTCTAGGTGGGATTGATGGACAACACACACCCCTAGGCACGCTCTGGTAGAACTTCTCAACTCCAAGGTCCAAGACAGAATCTTAAAAGCTTCCAGCCAGAAAGAACAAGTGACTCTCACGGGAAAAAAATAAATAAATGGGCTTCTCACCTGCAGCCCTGAGTCCTGGCAGACCGTGGGAAACCTCCCGCAGACGCCTGGGAGAAAAGGACTGCAAGCCAAGAGTCCTCCAAGCAGCCAAGCGCCACTCACTCCCAAGTGAAAGGAAAGATCTGTGGCCGTGCAGAGTTAGAGGATTCATGACGCACACCCCAGAAGAGCTCTGACCAATCACTCCCGGGTCAGAACTGAGACCTCAGGCAGCGGTGGTGGAACCATCCGAGGTGTTCAGTGGACCCTGTGGTCAGTGCACCGCCCGCCCAACCACGTGGGGCTCCGATGGGGTGAGACTGTGCCACATAACGTTAAGTCAGTGTGTTTGGGATGGAAAGGTACTGCAAGCGGAGTTCTAATTGCAGTCTGAAGAATATCCCACCATCTCAGCAAATCTGAGAGTTGGGGATTGAGGTGGGGGACGCCTAACGCAGACCAGAGGGAACACGTGAAAGCATCGGAAGCCCTGGTTTGGAGGGCCGACATGGAAGCGTCGTGTAGGCCTCACATGTCTGGGGGGAGGAGAGAAAGCAGGGGGGGGACAGGACTCACAGGAAGTTGTTGGCCTTTCATAGCCACATAATTACAGGAAAAGCCATTTGATTGTAAGAATTGGGAAACATAAAGCAGCCATTAGCAAGATGGAAAAGAACAGAACTTCCAAAGGAACAAGGGGAGAAAAAGGGGACAAAGAACAACATAATCAAATCAGTTAAAAAAATTTAAAAAAAGAAAGAAGCAATGGAAAAAGTTTTAAATAAAACGAAGTCAAGTTGTGCAGTTATTATATTAAATATAAACAGACTGAACTCTCCCCATTATAAGGTAGGCTCTGTATTTTTGACAGTAAAAGAAAGCAACATAATGTGTATCGAACTGATTAAAATGGACTCTAATGCAAAAGAGAAGGGTGAAACGATGCCAGGCAAATGCAAACCAAAAGGAAGGATGCCAAGGTATCATTATATCATTATTCATCTTGAACAGGTGGAATTTAAGATGAAAGGCATTAAGCAGGATAAAGAGCAACATTATAATGAGAAAAGACACAATTTCTAAAGAAGACCTCACAGTCAGCAGCTCACAGACCCTCCCAACAAAGCAGCTAAACATAAGCTTATATTTAAAACGAAAGTTGTTCAAGTTCTTGGGGTACCTGATTAAAGCTATAGCTCTACAAGAAGGGGTGCATACACCCCTTTCCCAGCCAGGCAGTCTTACCAAGGTTAATTTAAAGACATAGGCGAATCGAAGACAACCGTCGGCTCACCTAATTTAACAGTAATGGCATAAAGCTCACATCCCTCAAATAGGTGAGGTGTACACTATTTCATACGTGCACAGGACACTTAACAAAATAATACTCAGGTACTTACTTGCCCACAAAAAGGGAATGTCTGAGAACCACATTCTCGGATCACAATCCACAAAATTAGAAATAAAGATTAAAAAGGTGACCAAAAAAAAATCTTAAATATTTGAGACTCCCAGATAACCTTTAGATCAAAGAGAAATCACAACTGAAATAACATACTATCTGGAAATCACTGAAAGAGAGAAAAACAAAACTTCTGAGCCCAATGAAAGCCATAAAAGAAATGTATCATCGGGGCACCTACCCTACTGAAAACCCAAGGAAGCTTGAGCCCCCGGCCCCCACACTCCCAGGGACCCCAGCAATATTGTCTAAGGGTCATGTTTTTGTAAAAGTTGCAAAAGCAAGCCGTGTTTCTATCCTTTCCTGGACAGCCTCTCCGACACCCGTCCCCAGTGACGTCAGTGCAGCACCACAAGGTCGAATCCATTCATTTTCGTTTAAAAATGCCTCGTTATCACAATGTCCCATAACCAGATCTGCTGGGAGGATGACGTTCCCCGGCTATCGGTGTTTCTCTGGCATTTGGACTGCTGGCATCTGGGAGGGACCGTTCTGTACAGAACAGTATCATCCCTGCCTTTGACAGTAAAAGTCGTCTCCCAGCCCTGGCCAATGTGGCTCAGTTGGTTGGAATATCATCCCATTCACCTAAAGGTCAAGGGCTTGATTCCAGTCAGGGCCCTTACCCAAGTTTTAGGTTTGATCTCATGTTGGGGTGCATATAAGAGGCAGCCGATCAATGTTTCTCTCTCTCTCCCTCTCCCTTCCTCTCTCTCTGGAATCAATGAAAAGACAGCCTCGGTGAGGATCTCCGGCATAGCCCTGGGGAGAAGAGGTAGTACCACCCAGTACTGACACCTATGGCTAGATTCTTACCTGCCCAGGTTTAGTGCCACCTCAGAGCTTCTCAAACAGTGGCCCTCCAGCCTGGTGATCACTTACCCAGCCTCGCCTTAGCCTCTCAACCATATGTGACACCGCTGGCCACAATTTCCTCTTCTGCATCAGTGGCTCATTTGCACCCAGGTTTCTTCCTCTCTCCCTGGCTCCTCCCCCTTCTTTGCTGGCCTCTCGCCCTGTCCACCCTCCTGTGGGGAGCTCCAGGGATCGCTGAAGTCTCCACTCCTTCCTATCTGTGCCTTCCCCAGGGGAGCTCAGCCAGCCCCGGGCTTTCAAGTCCATCCCTGTGCTGACGGCTCAAACATTTATCTCCTTAAACCATCTTGACTCGGAGGGCTTTTAGGAATCTTAGTTATCAAGTCACAAGTTTCTAGATTTCTCTCCAAAACTGACTGTTTCCCACCCAATTCTTTCCCATCCCATTAACTGCACTACTAACCTGACCACCTAGTCACGTATATGCTAGCCAAGCAGGGTCCTCCTGGATCACTCACTCTCTCACATCAGCAAACCCATCAGCTCCATCTTCAAGTATATCCAGGATCTGACGTCTCTTACCTAACACGCTCGTCCAAGCCACCACTCTCGACTGGACAATCACAAAAGACTCCCAATCGACCTTCTGTCTTCCACTCTCGCCCCTCTATGATGTACCCTTCACACGGCAGCCAGAGTAGACTTTTTAAAAATATAAATCAGCCCAGCCAGCGTGGCTCAGTGGTTGAGCGTCGACCTATGAACCAGGAAGTCATGGTTCAATTCCCAGCCAGGGCACATGCCCAGGTTGCGGGCTCAATCTCCAGAGTGGGGCAGCTGATCATTGATTCTCTCTCATCATTGATGTTTCTATCTCCCTCTCCCTTTCCCTTCCTCTCTGAAATCAATAAACATATATTTGAATATGTATGTATATATAAACATACATACAGGCCCGATGCATGAAGATTCATGCAAGAATGGGCTTGCCTTCCCTTGGCTGCCTTCGCTCCGGCCCTGAGCCGCCTTTCTGCCTTCATTCCGGCCCAGAGTCGCCTTTCCACCTTCCCACAACTGCCCAGAGGCACAGAATAGCTGGGGCAGTGCAGAACGCCT